TCTGCCATCCCGTGGGGCTGCAGGGCGAGGGGGAGATGAATCCTGGGATGGATGTTAATGGTTCCTTAGGGGTGGTCTTGGCATCCCAGGAGGTTTGGTGGAGGGTGTCCATCAGCCCAGGAGCAAGAGGACGGTGGGGAAACTCCGGCCCAGTCGCCCTCAGCTTTCACTCCCCGTGTTGCTGTGAGGGACAAGGAGACAGAGCAGACCCCTCACTCCCACACTCCCATGCTGGGATGGACCCTGGGTCTGTCCAGCTCCCGGCATTCCCTTGGGACAGGGGCGTCCACAGCCCGTGGGCTCCGAAAACAGGGGTTTAATTCTCTGAGAGCTGATTTTAAGTGACCAGAGCTGGTGGTGGCTGGACCCGTTCGGCTCATGGCAGTGACACAGGGGGAGGGCACTCGTGTGTCCCCTGGTGTGGGGGCTGCCTTGTCCCTGCTCCTGGGCACGGTTTCAGTCGGATAACCTCGGGCAGCTGGGCAGCTCCCAGCACTCTTTGGATGTGGCTGTGAGGGTGAGCCCGGGGCAGGTCCTGGAGGGCACTTGACCGTCCCAAAATGAGTGCGAACAGAGCGTGGCTGAGCCAGGGGCGGGGACAGCAGTGGCTCTGAAGGTGCCTCTGAGCAACCTGATCTAGTGGAAGGTCCCTGCCTACGGCAGGGGGTGGAACTTTAAGGTCCCTTCCAACCCGAACCGTTCCAGCATTCTGTGATTTGATCCCAGCGGGTCCCGGCTCGGGAAGGGGTGGGTGTTTCTGCAGCACGACATGAGTTAAGTGCAGCGGCGCGGGAGCCCTGCAGGCTCTCCCTGCGCTTCCCATCCCTCCCTGCCATCCCTGGGAGCCCGGCTGCGGCGTGGCGAGGAAGGGGTTAGTGCCGAGCAGGGCTCTGGGTGCTGGGCAGCCTCCGTGGGTGCTGAGCAGGCAGCGCTGGCAGTGCGGCAGTGCAGCCTTCGGGAGGAAGCAAGTGCATCCCGCTCTTCCGGCTGCGTTAATGGCCGGGTGCGGGGGAGACGCATCGCTCCGAGGGGCTTCTATTCTCTTTCTCCCCAGATGCACTCTCCGCTTCCCCTCCCCTCGCCCCTTTTTGTACCAACGCTTTCTCGGCCGATTTTTCATGCTCCGCTAACTGCCGGCGCTTTCACGACACCCGCGTTGAGCTTTTGCTGCCTCATGAAGATTTATGAAACTGCAGTAATAAACTGTGTTTGAAAAGAT